TAGGGCACCAGCCCCATATACCAAGGGTGGCAGGTTCAAACCTGGCCTTGGCCAAAACTGCAATAGCAAAAAAAATACCCAGGCATTGTGGCAGGGACCTGTAGTCCCAGCTACTCGGAAGGCTGGGGCAAAGGAATTGCCTAAGCCCAGGAGTTGGAGGTTGCTGTGAGCTGTGTGATGCCACAGCACTCTACCGTGGGCAATAAAGTAAGACTGTCTCTACAAAACAAAATATGTCCTGGCGGTGTCCATAGCTCAGTAGGGTAGGGCACCAGCCACATACACCAAGGCTGGCGGGTTTGAACCTGACCCAGGCCTGCTAAACAACAATGACAACTGCAACAAAAAAATAGCTGGGCGTTGTGGTGAGTGCCTATAGTCCCAGCTACTTGGGAGGCTGAGGAAAGAGAATCACTTAAGCCCAAGAGTTTGAGGTTGCTGTGAGCTGTGACACCATGGCACTCTACTGAAGGCAACAGCTTGAGACTCTTGTCTCAAAAAAAAAAAAAAAGAATGTGAAAGAGCACATGTTGACATTTTTCTAGATAAAGTAGATTTTTACTGTATTAGAGGTTTACTTCTGAAATCAGTTTTTTTTTAAGTCACTCAAAGCATTTTTTAATGCATAAGCCTATCAAAACATTTTTATTCTTGATACAGCTCCCATAATTCTCTGTTCTATCAAATGAAGTAATTAAGAGCCTTGAGCCAAATGTATCCATATGGTAGTTTCCAATGTTGTGAGAGTTAAATGGTCAACTCAACATACTTACACTCTCCAAGCTGATCACACTACCATCAGTTGACATTTCTAGTCTTTGCTGGGGGCACACTAAAGATTTTTCCTCAGTACTCCCCAAAGCAGAGATCTGCTTCTATGGCTGTGTCTAAGAGGATAACCCTTTTGTTGATTATTCTCATCTGGATGCCATTTCCAGTATCATTGGTCTTTTATACAGTCTGAACTTGAGTCCAGAACACCTGGATTCTAGTCCCTCCTCTATTTATATAGTTAACCTTGGGCAAACTATTTAACCTTGCAAAGCCTGCACATCTTCATCTCTAAAATGAAAATAATAATTCCTGCCCTACCAACCTCAGGAGATTATTATGAGGATCAATGTGATAATTTGCATTTTAGAAATTTAAGCTGTAGACAGATCAAGATATTTATATTTCTGGCTCAGCACTGTAGCACAGTGGTTACAGCACCAGCCACATACACTGAGGCTGGCGGGTTGGAACCTAGCCCAGGCCTGCTAAACAACAATGACAACTGCAACAAAAAAATAGCCAGGCATTGTGGTGGGCACCTATAGTCCCAGCTACTCGGGAGGCCAAAGTGAGAGAAGTCCAAGAGTTTGAGGTTGCTGTGAGCTATGATGCTATAGCACTCTACCAAGGGTGACATAGACTGTCTCAAAAAAAAAAAAAAAGTATATTTCCTTCTCATATTTAAAAATTTATACTTTTTTTAAATTCTTATTCCTATTGCTATATCTCTTTTCTTTGTATCTCTTTTCTTGATAGTTCTAGATGAGCAGTATTCTGAAAGTCATCTTTCTAGGAACTAGCCATCATTATACTACAGATATGCAAGAGAAATTTTTTCTTTAGTAATTTGTCAGCTAAAACAGCTTTTACTATTTTTTTGGCTTTTGAAGACAGTAGCTTTAGAATAACAACAATTACTATGTTCGAAGGCATTATCTTTTTTTAATCCTCACAATTACCCTGCAAAGCAATATTATCTCCATTTAGCATATGAAGAAACTGTGGCTCAAAGAGGTATGTCTTGCCAGACTTCTCAACACCAGTGTAGAACAAGAGTTTGAATATAGCTTTCTAACTCCAAAGCCTTGCTTTCTCCTTGCTATCCCCAAACCCCACCCCTCACTTTTTGTTATATACATGAACTCATGGCTTAATGTCCACAAATTTTATTCATAATTCTAGCAAATATCTGAAATCAAACCTATTGTTTTCAGCATCAAATTAAGAATATATATTGTGGAGTCAAACTAAGCAATTTAGATACAACCCTTTGTCCCTTGAGCAAGTTACTTCTCTGTGTCTCAGCTGCTCGTCTGTAAAGTGGAGGTAGTAATAGCACCTACCCTTGTAATTACTCAGAGAATTAAATGAATTAATATGTGTTAAACTCTTAAACGTTGTAAATAATGGTAAATGTTAATCAAATAATTTTAAAATTATAATGAACCATTCTTCCAGGTTCTGATCACCCTCTTGCAGTATTACGTGCTGAGCCAGCTTTTGGCTGTTTTTTGCAGAATGAGTATATTAGAATAGTCATTGATTATTGATCAGCTGGAGTTAGATCTAGAAGAGGCAGTTTGAGTAAGAATGCCTTAGACATTTGTTCTTAATCCTCTAATGTAAACCAGACAGAGCAAAAGGTAAGAATTTCAGCCTGATGCTAACAGGACATCATGAACTCACCAATTCTGTCATTAGTTTTTGGTTAATTTAGTAGAAAATAAAAAAATAATGATCTGAGGGTGGCACCTGTGGCTCAAAGAAGTAGGGCCCTGGCCCCATATACTGGGTAGTGGGTTCAAACCCAGCCCCGGCCAAAAAAAAAAAAAAAAACTACAAAAAAAATAATAATGATCTGATATACAAAATATTCAAGTGTTCATTTTGTATGTTCAATGGTTGTCAAGGATGAATTGCAATTAAATTTCAAATACAAGTATGCTTTTATTTTAACCAGTCTTTGTTGGTCTGTTCTCTCCTACAGAGACCAGTGAAGGTGTGTCCTTACAACTGGGAAACACAAAAGATTTTATTATTTCATTTGACCTCAAGTTCTTGACAAATGGAAGTATATCTGTGGTTCTAGAGACTACAGAAAAGAATCAGCTCTTCACTGTACATTACGTCTCAAATGCCCAGCTCATTGCTTTTAAAGAAAGAGACATATACTATGGTATTGGGCCCAGAACTTCATGGAGCACAGTTACCAGGGACCTGGTCACTGACCTCAGGAAAGGAGTGGGTCTTTCCAACACAAAAGCTGTCAAGCCAACCAAAATAATGCCCAAGAAGGTAGTTAGGTTGATTGCAAAAGGGAAGGGATTCCTCGACAACATTACCATCTCAACCACAGCCCACATGGCTGCATTCTTTGCTGCTAGTGATTGGCTGGTAAGGAACCAGGACGAGAAAGGTGGCTGGCCAATTATGGTGACCCGTAAGTTGGGGGAAGGGTTTAAGTCTTTAGAGCCAGGGTGGTATTCTGCCATGGCCCAAGGGCAAGCCATTTCTACACTGGTCAGGGCCTATCTGTTAACAAAAGACCATATTTTCCTCAATTCAGCTTTAAGGGCAACAGCCCCTTACAAGTTTCTTTCTGAGCAGCATGGAGTTAAAGCTGTGTTTATGAATAAACATGACTGGTATGAAGAATATCCAACCACACCTAGCTCTTTTGTTTTAAATGGCTTTATGTATTCCTTAATTGGGCTGTATGACTTAAAAGAAACTGCAGGGGAAAAACTCGGGAAAGAAGCAAGGACCTTGTATGAGCGGGGCATGGAATCTCTTAAAGCCATGCTGCCCTTGTACGACACTGGCTCAGGAACCATCTATGACCTACGTCACTTCATGCTCGGCATTGCTCCTAACCTGGCCCGCTGGGACTATCACACCACCCACATCAATCAGCTGCAGCTACTCAGCACCATTGATGAGTCCCCAATCTTCAAAGAATTTGTCAAGAGGTGGAAAAGCTACCTTAAAGGCAGCAGGGCAAAGCACAACTAGAGCTCACAACCAAAATCATACTTCAGCCTCTGCTACATAAGGAAACTACAGGCTCTCTCAGCAGAGCATGGGCACATTTTTAAAAGGTTGTATACTAGGTTTTTGTGGATTATATCAAGGTGACAAGTGATCCTTAATGCCAGTCCTCTGAAATAATTGCATTCCATGGGTTGGATGTTTAGAAATATAGGTGGCATTTAAAACAGAAAGCGTTTAGACAATGGGCTGAACAAAGCTGTTCAACTTTGCCTTGCCCATAACCCTATACAGTCCACAGATAGTCTGGTCACTGTCGGTTTGGAAAAGGTAATGGTAAGTAGTTACTGGTCAACTGTCTAGCAAGTACCTGAAAACTTAGTATGGGGCTCTTTCTAAATGTGCTAATTTATGTTGAAAGCAGACTTTGGAAAAAATAATGTGCTGTAATACAGTAAATATGTACTTGTAGCCTGGATAGTGGACTGTGTTCAAGTTTTTAAAAAGATATTTCTTTTCTATAGGTTAACTGCTTGGAAGCAAATGAACATTTGCTGTATTTGTTCAATTTGTTATATGTGGAAAATATTCTGAATTATAGTTTTCTTGAAATGTGCAAATTAAAAACACAACCAGTGTTCAGGCTTCACAGTTATATAATGTAAGCACAACTAAAACGAAACTTCTTGACTGCACAAGAAATTATAAAAATGTTATCTGTTTTGAAACTTGATCTACAATCAGTAAAAGTTTGATAATCAGTCTCTTCCTCACACATTGTGATAGATTTTTTTTAATTACTATCTAGAATTTTGTATTTTATTTCAGACTACACTTGAGAGTTTTGTACATTTTGTGGGGGGACATTTTGGGGACATTATTTGGGAAATTTATTAAATACCTAAATTTGGAAAGGATCTGATAATTTTAAGGCCACCACCACTTCCTTTTAGAATTTTTCCCTGCTTTAAAGAAAAATACCATGTCAGATATTACATACAAGAATCATAGCAGGATTTTTTTCCCTACCCTGATCACTCTTAACCATCAAATTCCCAAACTGTTAAATCTGTGTGTTATTATTTTGCCTTTGAAATGTAATTTTACCGTATTCCACCTATTAGAACAGATGCTACTGCCATTTGCTGTGTGCATGTATTCAGATCTTTATTTTGGCTAGATATCTTACTATACCTCACATGAAGAGATTTCAGAGCCCTTACACTATGGGCAGTGTCTGCTATGAAGCTTCACTAGTTTAAAACCAGGGATTAGGTGAAAACCCAGTGGTGTTTATTTGCTCTGGCTTTTGTTTTAGGTATGACAACACACTATATCAGTACTATATCTTATAAAGTTTGAACTACGAGACCCCGCACTTTCAGGGGACTAAGTCTGACAAACACAGTACAGTTTTATCTGTGATCTATTTATATATCAAATGCAGATGTAAGAGCCAGGTAGGTTACTTGCCTACCCACCGTATCTTAGTTGAGTGCAATCTACCAAGCACTACTTAGAAACTGGAAAATATATATACATACATATGTATATATGTAAAATACATAGACGCATCAAAAGGGGCAGGAGCAGAGAAACTGAGGACAATATTAAGCTGGCCATAGAAAAGTAAGCTTAAACTCCTAACGTACGTGACAACTCTTAATGTGGCCAGTTGCGGGTTTTTAAGTTTTCATCTAGCTTTTGACCTTTGTCTGATATATTAGAGGTCTCAATAAGAATATCTGGACTTCCCTAATTTTTATTTGCAAAGCCAATGTTCAGAACAAACTTTCTCCAATCTGGAAACCTATTTCATTCCTCATATTTGTTATTGTTTAGAGAACGGTTCAGACTTCCACTTTGTGTTGCCTCCTGGTCTTCAGATTAGGAGAATCAATAAAAACAGTATGGTACTGCTTCTGTGACAAATATCAGTGCCTTAACAATGTGGCTGTCTCTTTCCACTGAAGAAGGAAAGACCTTTTGATCTAGAAATGCCATTGCTAGGTGGCACCTGTGGCTCAGTGAGTAGGGTGCCGGCCCCATATACCGAGGGTGGTGGGTTGGAACCCAGCCCCGGCCAAACTGCAACAAAAAATAGCCGGGCATTGTGGTGGGCACCTGTGGTCCCAGCTACTTGGGAGCCTGAGGCAAGAGAATTACCCAAGCCCAGGAGTTAGAGGTTGCTGTGAGCTGTTAATGGCACGGCACTCACCGAGGGCAATAAAGTGAAACTCTGTCTTAAAAAAAAAGAAAGAAAGAAAGAAAGAAATGGCATTGCTATTTCACTGCTGTTTGTTTCACACTGCCTTTCACACTGCAGCAGCAACTTGATTTGTCTTGTGATCCCAGTTTCTAAGCGGATGAGTTGAACATAGAGCAGCATCGTCAGCACAGACCAGTGATTCTCAAACTGTAGAATCATTTGGGAGCTTATTGAAATGCAGATCCCAGACATTCAGTAACTCTGCCTGTGATGTATAATACTCTGCATTTGAACAAGCACTCAGGTGATTTTGATGCAGCGAGCAGGGGGCATACGTGGAGGAACACTGCCCAAGACTGTCCATTGCAGTTTTGCCTCTAAACAACTAGAAAGTTTTCTAGGGTTTTAAATCATGTAAAATGTTTACCTATTATGAGCTTAGAGAGAGTGGGGAGGGTATTTTTAAGTTTTTTCCTTTACATTTTTCTTTAAGATGATAGATATTAAGAGTTTTGTTTGTTTCTGTTTTCCTTGAGTTTGCTTTGATGATGAATCTATTGCCACTTCGGTTTTAAAACCAGCCAGAAGTTTCTGGATGAAGGTCAAGTTTGAGCCTTTAGGAGTTATTGTATATAAAGACTTCATCCAAGAACCATCCAGTGTATGTGAGCAAATGTAAAATGACACACAAGCACAACTCTCCAAATGTGGCAGTCCTTTCTTTATTTTTCCAGTGCAAACTTTCGCTGAAAGCTGCTATTTTCATTCTTGTAATTTGTTTTTCTTGTTTCTCTTCCAGTGTACATGTGGGTTATATACCATGTGTTAAATATGCAATAAAGTGTTTACTGGATGCCCTTCTGAAGGGTAGTCCTATGTAAAGCTGTACAGACTTTGCAGTTCAAGCACAATGTGCACATGTTAGTTTTATATACAGCGAAACTTGATTTTTTGCAGATGGAAAGGTATTTTGTTTCTATACAAAGTAAATGCATTGTTTGTGCTTAATGTAAAGCTGCTTTATAAAATTGTAAAATAAAGTTTTTATCTTACAAGGAATATGCCTGGATGTTTCTCTTTCTTTTCTAATTATCCTATGATTATTTGAGCCCAGCAAGCGGATTTGTGACCATCATTTGCTGTTCACCCCGTGACAACTAGTCAGATGACAAGTGTTCATTAAGGGCGTGCCAGGCCTCATTAGACGTAGTGGGGAGCAAAGGGTAACGTGGGCTTTAGTCTTAAGGAGCTTTAGTGTACAAGGGGACACAATATGTACAAAACAATTTCAGGAAAAGTAAAATGCCAAGTTATGTAGTTGGAGAAAGTGTTAGGGAAGAGACAGAGCCAGAGCTGGGGTTTCAGGGGTGGGAAGAAAACAGGAAGAGGAGGGAGTAACATGAGCAAACCAGGGATGCCCACGCCAAGGGTGAGGTGCCTTTTGCCTTGCTGGTTCAGGCTGGGTAATCATTTTTGATTAGATTTATCTTAGAGTTTGTCTCTCATATGTTTTCTGTACTTGCCTCTTTAGAACAATAAGCATTATTTAATGTTTCCCCTTCTCAGAGTGTAATGATTTAGGCTCCCAGACACACACAAAACCAGAGACCAGTCTGGCTTCATGTAATGTTTCATTGCGCATTATTTTTTGGATTGTGAACCTTCTATACCATTTGTATAATGGAATTCCCATTGATCCCCCTTCAACTTTTTCTAGCTGATTGGTGCGTAGATTTTGACAAGCTGCTGCATTCTTGGCAGCTATGTCTTCTCTACCATCCTCATCCTGATAAGCTTGGGAAATAGCCATAAGTTGCAAGCAATCTCGAGCTGAATGAGGTCTCAGACTGCTCTTGCTTTGATTTTGCTATTTGTAGTCAAACATAATACATTAGCCATTCTGTTTCAGCACACGGAATGTCTCATATCTGTCTCCCCATCACCCTTGAGACGGGGCAGTCCCTCTATACCACAGAGGGCTTACTCAGTTGTCCAGTGAGCACTCCTTTCCTTCCTATCCACAGTGCTCTGATGACTACTCTGTGCCTTGGGACCCTGCCTCCTCTAGCCATGACTGTTAGATATGGACCAGTATCTGCTCAAACTGAGCAGTTAGTCTTCCCCAAGGATCCAAAATTGGGATGGATAAAAATACTGAAGTCGATACACAGTGAAAAACAGAATCTTGACAATGCTCCAGGCCCTAGACCCAGTGTATTTCTGAGGTCAGCTGCATTCCACTCAGGTCCCGTGAGATGCTATACCAGAATGAACTGGGTTCCTTTGTCTATGTGCAGTGAAAAACCAAACAATGGAGTACAAGGTTTTTACAGCAAGAAAGGTTTATTGTCAGCTGGCCAAAATGAGGAGACAGGAGTCAGACTCTATCATTCTGAGCTGGGGCTGGAAGGAAGTAGGAGCAGGTTTCATAGAGAGAAATGAAGCATGATCTGATTGGATCTTGGGATAGGGTGATGCCTGGAGACATGGCTCCTGCCATGGGGTGACACCAGGGATCAATCTGGTTGGATCCTGGATCCTGCCATGTGATGTCCATTTCCTAATTCAGTCCCCACTCCTTGGTCTGAGCCCTTAGACTCTGACTGGGCTTGCACACTTGGTTCATCTGGGCATGCAACCTGGGGGTCCATGACAACAAAAAACTCACAACTTCGTTACATTACAGTTGAAGCAGATTGGTCTGACATATAGTGACAATATATCCTTAGGATAAATTCCCTGTTTGCTTAAGTTGGCTTGATTTGGTTTCTGTTACTTGCAACAAATGAGCCCTAATTAATAATACCAGTCTTCATTACTGAGAAAAATAGATTGTAAATTCTGCATTTTCCTCCAATCTGGCCCACTGTAGTAGCTTGTTAGAGCTGTTGTAACAAATACTACAGACCGGGTGATTTTAATAGATTTGTTTTCCTCACAATTCTGGAGGCTAAGAAGTCCAAGATAACCATGCTAGTGGGTTTGGTTTCTTCTGAGGCCTCTCTCGTTGGCACATGGATGGTGTCTTTCTCCTGGGTCTTCATATGGTCGTTCCTTCATCTGTGTTGTCTATGCTTTAATCTCCTCTTATTGAGGACACTAGTTGGATTGGAGCCCACACAAATGACTTCCTGTTACCGTAATTACCTCTTTAAAGCCCCTGTCTCTTGATACAGTCACATTCTAAAGTCCGGGGTGGGGTTAAGACTTCCACCTGTGAATATTGGTGGTGGGGGGGGGGGACACAATTGAGTCCATAGCAACCACTCTTCATCCTAAGTGCCTAGAAACTGAACTAGCCAGGGCTGCCATTTAATTTAATGATCACCAGGAAAGGCCAAAGCTCAGGATACATTAGTTGGGCAGAAATCTAGACTTGAAACTGAGGAGACAGAACCCCCTTGCTTGACCCTTGGAGCATCAAGAATTTACTCTTTCACCCCGTGGGCTTCATTTGCCTCATATGACTGTAACAGAAATCTCTGATCTTAAGTGTTTTATAAAGGAACAAAGTGTTTTAAATTTAACCACTAAATTGAAATGGTGGTTAAAAAAAAATACATGCACCAGCATAAGCTGCTAGATTTTTATTCTTTTTAACCCATGTGCCATTTTCACTAGCCCATTTGGAATGTAAAACTCTAAGAGGTATTGGAGAAAAATGTATAGAAACAGAGTACATGAAAATTGTAAGTTGTGAGATTTTGTTTAATGGCGATTTTTAAATCTCAAATCTGCATTGTCACTGCTACAAATAGTCAACAGTACAGGGATATAATATTGATTGTCATTATACTAACTCATTAAGGATGTCAAATCGAAAATGGATGAGCATGTAAATGTTGTAGTGGTGATGAATTTGAATGTTTGCTGCTCAATTTCTGGTGAAAAGAGATGCATTTACCATCTGGTAAGAATGATGGATAAGTCACATATATACATTGCATTTCCTGAATGTTAAATAGCAGCAACACTATGTAATTTTGTTAATCCTTTTCTAGGAGTAGAAGGATTTTGCAAAATGACAGGACTGCAAAGCAAGCTATTGAAAAGCAGAGAGAGAAGAGCAAAAGCGGCAGAAACAAACTCTGTGAAGGACCAGAAATAGAGCAGGCCGACAACTGGGGTTAAACACACGGCTTAGACAGGATATTCTTAGGCAACCCAGAGCTCATCGCATCTAAGCTTAACCTCAGGAAGAGCTGGTGCCTTCCTGGGATTTGGCTCTGCTCTCATCAGCATCTAGTGGAATCAGAGATAATAACGGCTACTCCATTTCAGTGCGGAAAATCTAGTAAAGAGTGTTCATCTCTTTGAGGACCAGAGAAGGAAATAATCCCTGGAGTGGGGTGAGGGTGAGGTTCTGTCTGTAAGCAAACATGGCAAAAACGTATGATTTTAACTGAATGCCCATCATTCTGTCATGTTTCTTTTTCAGCACCGGTGAAGGTAAATCTTTGCAACTCAGTTGAATACAGTGGGAGACCCCAAACAAATTCCAAAATCCCATCAGTGGCGTGACTAGGTAACCGGCAGGAGAGTGTGTGTCTTCTCAGCTACTGCAGGCGACAAAGAGGTACTGTTTCCATCTGGAAACACTTCCCAGAAGAAATGGCCTCGGCAGTTTCTTGTGAGCTCAGGTAAGTGAGTTCTTAGTGTTCAGCTCCAGCAAACTGTGATTCTGTATTGGTGCTTCTTGCTAACCTGTGTTTAGGAAGAGAAAACCAGCAGCATTATAGGTACTCCTCCAGCTAAATCCCGTCCATGATGCTTTATGACTCTGGAAGCCTGGCAGATGAGAAAACCAAACAGTGCTTGCTCAAGGCCATGCAGTTCTTTTCACTAAA